AATTACTACACTGCCTCGTAAATAACTACCACTGCCGCGTAATAATTACCGCTGCTTTGTCACAGTTGCAGCCGCCCTGTAATAACTACTACCTCTGCCGTGACTCGTATCAGCTCTTTCAAGATCAAGTATAACAGATCTCGGTGTGTGTTATTCTGTTCGATGGAGCATGGCTTGGTGCTAATCGTCTCTTGGAAGCCCTGAACCGCGAGTTGAAATTCCACAGTCGTATGGATAAACATGTATTTTTTTATATATATTTATCTATTTAAAAAATTACAATTGGTGGGACACAGGGCCAAAGGCCAGCAATGCAGAGTGGACAACGCTCATGATAGTCTGCAGCAGTGCGTACTGTTGGGTTCGTGGCGACAACTCGTTTTATGTACGGTAGTTAATTCAGGTGTCTGGTCACATACCGTTTTACGATCCCCATGGTTTAGTTGGCTGTGCACATTTTTAATTGTACACCGCTCAGTCGGTCCGCTGATGGATGAAGGGCCCCCTCTTGAACATGTGGGTCATGGCGGAGTTTTTAAACATACTCGACAGCGCTGATTTAGTGTGGGTTGCGGAAGGAAGGGGGGTTGCCCAGGACTGGTTCAGATATCACACATTGCTGCCATTTAGAAAACAGATGCAATTGAATGCGCAGGGAGAAAACCACTGTGCCACCGTTCCCCTTCCGTACAAAACGTGACCAGGCGGGGAGAGAGGCCATTAAGTCAAGAGCTCCTTGGCAAGGGGGAGGCCTGGGTCGCAAATAAGTATGGTTCAAAATACCTCGGGACAAGCTGTACAACCATCAACAATTAATCACCAGATAAAATTGGGGGGGGGGGGGGGGAAAGACACGCTTTTACCTGTCACCAAACGTAAATTAAAATGATTTGCAATAATTCGACAGCTTAAATACTGGAACAGCATCTCGGCGCGCTGAACGACACATCCAGGATCAAAACGTTCGGCACGTTTGGGGGGAAAAAAAAATAACGACATTCGCAATGGATTATGCAATGCTTTGCGGCGTGCGTTTATCTTTGGAAGTATTTCAATCGCCGTTATGGAATCTCGACGGGGGTAGCTTGTTGGGGCAAAACACGTATTCATATTTGTAAATAGTCGTCCTTTTTTTTTTTGCTCTGTGCCTCAAATTTTTGGAACCCATTGATCAATTTGGCCTGAGTGCCTAAACAGCTACCCACCTTTGTGCATAAGTTTCATTTCTAGAGGATCATCGTTAGGAGAGTTTTTCGTGCCCCATGGGAAGGACAGCAGAGTTTAATGCATTCACGCTTTTCAACCTTAGTTGCAGAGCGTTAAAAGAACACATTGTACGTTGACAGTACCCAACCCTACTCTGGCATCGTTAAAGCTCGAGAGCTGACCTCTTAATTATTTAACGTCTCACCACGGTGGCGAGTTGTTGAATACGTCGCCTGGTATGCAGGAGCTCGTGGGTTCGATCATGACCCTGACGCCTCTATATTTGGAGTTTGCACGTTTCTCTATCCCCGTGGTCGTGTGGGTTTTTCTCCGGATATTCCGTTTTTTCCCTCCACATTTAGAATCGGCATCACGCATTTTAGGAGTGTTCAGCTGCTATACATGTCCAGGTGATGATAAGCCACTTCGTTGCACTGTCATTTGTGATGGCCAGGTCGCTCATGGCAAAAAGCTAGTTGTGGGCCTTACCACAAAAGATGTATTACCGAAGCTATCAACAGAAGGTGTGTACAGGATTAACTGCACGTGTGCAAACTGTTAGGACGAATGATCAGCACGAGACTAAAATAACATCAGAGAAATATCACTGCTCCCACATGTAACCTGTCAGCAGTGGCAGAACACACGTGCCAACAAGGACACTCAATTGATTGTGGTAATGTTGAAGTTCTGTGCAAAATTAGCTACTACTGGCCGAGACTAATTGGAGAATCTATCGAAATGTAAAGAAATAAAAAATAATTTTAACCGTTCGGACAGCTACCGCCTTAGTGCTGCGTGGAAGCGAATTACTAATATAATGAGGCAAGAATGTGTGTGCGTGTGTGTGTGTCCTGCGCGTGACGTCACTCCACATGAGCCCCCACCCCCTCGTTAATAATCATGAGCTGAACAATTTTTCTATTTAATATTTAAGATTTGCTGCAATATACACCCGTCCTTGGACGGGCAAACAAGCTTGTCGTCAAATAATACATTATTTAAATGCATGCCTATAAAAAGGCAGCATACTTCAATAGGGAATACCGTTGGTACGGCTATTTTAAATCACACGATAGACAGGAAGGACAAGATCAAAGGGCTCACATAATGCACATGCATATAATGTACGTTGACTCATTAATCCCCCTCCCCCACTTTGCATAAGAGCGCAGAAGCGTGGTCACCACATCCACGCCTCTATATAAGGAACGAAACAGTCATTCTTCTCCACAAATCTGGCTGTCGCCTGATGAAGCTAGTTGCAATTACTGGCGAAACGTCGTACTCGGATTGTCAGTGTTGTGGCTTGGCTCTCCAACACACCGGTGTGCTGTACTAGTACACTACACTATACACTACACTATACACGAGTGCTGTACTAGTGACTAATTGGTACGTTCCATTCACGTGACAGCCTTTACTAGTTGGCCGTGTCGGGTGGTGGCGGGTTTTAACGACACATTTATATATTTACGCGATTTAACCTAAAAAAAAAACCTCTTACGGATCAAATTTAAAATGGTAAAATAGCATTAGCGAGAGTGTCGGCGTCGTGGGGAGTGTGGCTCTCTGCCATTCCCCGGGGCAGTCGGGAGGTGCTCCGCTGCCGCCCCCAACGGGATCTAACGGGAGTCTAGTTGCGCCCCACGGCTGCCCGAGCCCACGCTGTGATCGTCCAAATCATGGTTTCTGAGAGTAGGCCCACAGGCCCACAAATCTCCTCATCGTTCAGCAACAAAACAGCACTTTTTTCCAGAGATTCATTTCTTGAATTGCACGAGGGTTTATTAATCTTGCTGGGGGTGGGGGGCAGGGGGAAGATGACGGGAGGCAATTACAAAGTGGAGCAGTGCGAAGAAAGAAGCGTGGAAGAGAAGTGACAGTGGCCAGTGTGGTGGTTGCAACATTACTCAATATAATTTGCACAGTAATGTACAGTAGTACATGTAATAATGTGATCGATTGTAATCGACTCGTGTCCTTCCATTTAAACGATTAAGCTCGGCCGAATCTAGGGAGATGTCAACTCGGGTACTAAAATGGTTCAATGTAGAACGATCAAAATCGAATGGTTGATTAATGTAACACTTTGGGAAGAGACGAAACAGTGTCGGGCTGGGTAGGCAAGAGTCCTCAACATGCGTGAAGGCTCCTGGAGGAATCAGACATGGGGGGACCCCAAGCTGCTGCCCACAGCATTGCTGACTCGATAGTCGCGTTGGCACACGCCACTTTTTTCAAATTTTCTTGCTGTGGTTTTCACACCTGATGATGATGATTGCTTGTGTTGCAGTCGAAACGTCGTGAGAATTTTATTGTTTTATATTTGTATTATTTTATTGTTTCCCTTCTGCGTGACTTTACCGAAAGAACCAAGAATATGAATCCCTGCAGTCACGAAAGCTTTAAATCAAAATTTACACGCTGTCACGTTGAGGGAGGTCAAAACGATGTAAAAGTTCAGAACGTAATGACTATCGCGATATTAGCTTCACTAAATTTCGTAATTGCATTTCGGTTTTTTTCTCATCTTGTTATTGTGCTTGGATACGCACTTCAAGTACGAATATGAGATTGCCTAAAGGTTATTCAATGGGCTTCGCTCGACATAACTTTACAATCCACAGGAATACACGTTCTGTGAGAAAGTGACATTTCATCGCCATTCCTGCCAATTACTTTGGAAAACATTTTACAACACCATCATTCAATGGATGATAGCTATAGACTTTTTTTTTGTTACTGTAATGATTATTTTGAACTTTAATTTTAATTCTTGTCATCTAATATTTTTTTAGGAAATTTGATATTTACAAAAAAAGTCCTGAGCATCGGAAATGAAGGTGTGACGATATCGTGCCAAGTTAACAATACTGCTGTTGTGCATGTAATATCGTGCAGTGTATTGCAACTATCGCAGATCACCCTACAGCGCAGATAACTCCCTCTCTAGCCCCCCCCCACTGCTCTGTCTGGGATGTACGACCAAGTCGGCGGGAAGGCGCCCGATCCTGTCACACCTGGAAAGTGCTTGGATGGGCGACCACCCATCGCACAGAGCCACGTGCCACGAGTGAGACAGGCGTTTTTTTTATGAGCAGCAGAGGGGCAATGCAGCAACGTCCGTTGCTGTTCTCCACTTCTCCCCCCCCCCCCACCACCTTCAAACAACCCACGCTGACCAGCGCAATGAAGTCATGGTCAGATAACCTCCTCGCGGCCCGCACGGTGTTGGGCGGGGCCCTCGTCCGGCGGCGTATCGGGAACGCGTCGCTGCACGTCAGCGGGTTTTATTTTGATGGTGAGAGAGAAGCGATCTCCTCAACCCGGTTCCCCACCCCCCCCCCCCCCCCCCCCCCACTTTTTGCGAGCACGACTCTAGAAGGCGGCGGGACACTCACACTGATCGGTGAAACTTGTCGAAAGACGGAGTGTCCGCATCGGATCCCTCCAGCCTAGACCAAGATTCTGCTTCTGTTTCTGTCAGAGTGTGGTAAATTCCAACTGGTTCGCGCAAGCCCACTTTCAGGCCGGCGCTGTTGTTCACCTTGTGCCTCACAGGAGCAGCTGTCATCAGGGGACCCCCCCCCCCTGCCCACCGCTAGGCTTAAAAACATCTGCGCTCTGAGATGCGTGTTTGTTACATTATGGGCGTGATGCACATGCCGGTCGTCGTGTCCTCCGTCGTGTCGCCCACACCGACACGCTCCCTGCACCGCGCCTCGCGTCCCCAGGGCTGCGTGCCTCATTCCCCCGTGCCGTGTGTTCTGCTTCTCTGTGTGGTTCCGCAGTCATCCCTGGCCGCCCTCTACTCGCTCTCCAACCAGGCCACCCACGAGGCTGTGCACCTCCTCTGCAGGATGCTCGTCTTTGACCCCGTGAGTTGCGCATCGCTGATTCGGCGAAACAAATCTGCGATCCTGATTTTTTTTTTGTTATTCAAATAGATTTTTGAAGATTAACGTCACGAATCAAAGTTCACTTGCATATAAATAGTAAGAATTTTTTTTTTACAATTAAAATACATCATAGAGGTTGACCTTTAGTGTGCTGAGCTGGCACGGCTGAAACCCTGGCTTCGAGTCTAGGCAGCTGCCGGAGATTCAACTGAGTTCTCAAGTGCGGTGAGTTGATGGTCTCAGCCCAGTCACCAGTTACTGGCAAAAAAAAAGCATCATTAAATTATTAAATTCGTTCTGCACTTTAGTTGGCATAAATCAATTCTGGTGGAGAACATCGCTTCAAAACCTCCGTAGTTTCGTGGAACAAAACGTTTTTCCTACTCTCCAAAGTTTTCTGTCGGGCTGCACCACACACGGTTCCACATTGCGTCCGATGCCCCGATCCACGCGTCGGGAGTTTTGCGCGCACGCGGCTGCGAGCAAGTACACGCCGCGAAAGCCGTGCAGCGCAACCGTCGAAAGAACCCCCGCGCGGTCGCGTGTATTGCTCGTACGTATGTATGTTCAACTTTTTTTACGCACCGTACAAGAGCCAACTGCGCCAATTGGGGGCTGCCGGGGGAAGGGGGCGACAAACTAAACAGACCGGCGGGGCGCGCCTTTCCCGTCCTCAGACGAAGCGCATTTCGGCGCGGGACGCCCTGGCGCACCCATACCTGGAGGAGGGCCGCCTGCGCTACCACACGTGCATGTGCAGCTGCTGCCACAGCGCGGGCACCGGGCGCGTCTACACGGGCGACTTCGAGCCGCCCGCCAACCCGCGCTTCGACGACTCCTTCGAAAAGAACCTCACGTCCGTGCGGCAGGTCAAAGGTCAGCGGAAGGGGGGGCGGGGGGTGCCCGGCTCGCCGGCGGAAATCTATGGCGCGCGCGTGCGTGCGTGCGTGCGTGGTTACTTTGCGTGGCGGGCGATGAGGTGGAGAGGAAGCGCGAAGCTGAGCCGCCGGAGGCGAAGCAATCGTTGGCATCGCCGTCGACGTTATTCGCGCGCCAAGTTGGGACGCGCACCGATCGAGGAATTGAGTCGTACGTCAGAAATGAATGCCGGTGTCCAGCTCTGCTAGTCACGAGAGGGCTTCTGGAGAGTGTTCGTGGCGTTTCGCTGTTCCCCACTCCTCCATTGCAGGACGCGCGCAGACTGCGGTGGTTTATTCTGTGGCCTTTTAATTTGCGTTGCATGGCCACAGTCGCACAACTGTGGCTTGCCTTGAACGCTTACCCCACGGAGGAGATGCGCACATCGGCCCGTTGATGCTCCCAATGCGTTTGATGGTTACACCACCAATGTCTATCGAGGATGTCAAAGCCAGAAGGTGCGACATTTGGATCTCGAATGCGGTGAGAGTGCGTGACGTCCACGTTGTTTTGAAATGTTCGCCGGCGTTCTCGTGGACATCAGATGGTGAAGTGAGACAGGGTCGGCGGGAATTTTACGCGGTTAAGTTGTCCTCCCTTCAAAAGTGTCGCTATTAGCTTCGCTAGAATTGATCTGCGGCTGTTTTATTGTTGTGAACCACCATCGTGCGGCCAACTCGCCCTCTCGCGATATTCATTTCGTCCGCACCGTGACTCACCTTCGCCACCGGCACTCGGAGGCGTCAAAACCAAAATATTTCTGAAGAGTTGCGGCGCTCTGAATCTGCCAAGCCGAGCGCCGATGCTGGCAGTGGCCTGTGGTTTGCGGGCGTCCCCAACAGCGTCACGCATCTCTTAATCAGTGTGGAGTCCACGTGGGGGCGGGGGGGGCACCCGGGGGGGGGCACCCGGGGGGGGGGGGAGCACCCAGTGTCCAAGCTCTGTCTGGGCTCTGTCTAGACACTGTCTGGGCACCTCAGGATCATCATCGTGGAAAGCTGTTGGCTCGCCCATTGAGGCATCCCTACCCTGCACTTCTCTCTGAACAGCATTCACCCAGCCATTTACTCACTTCTATAAGCCATCATTGATTTTTATTTTTAGATTCCCCCCCCTCCCCCCCCATAAGCTATGTATTTGACCATATGACGATTCACCCTGGCCCACGCACCAACAAGATGATTCTGTGGATTGTCATTCTTCTATTGCCTAATTTATATTGTTTATCCCGATCCGTGTCAATTGTTCCATAAGCTCACATTGTTCAGCCCTCGCGTCTACTTTCACGTTTAAATCGTGAGCGAAATAAAATACAAATTTATTTCATCATTTGTTACCTGCCAGCTTGCATACATTTTCACTGAATTCCATGTCTTTTCATCGACATCAACCCACATCATGTATTACTTGATATCGTACAGCACACAAGTGCAAAACGACGTCCTGAAGCACCCACGCGATTTTAAAAGCACGATCGAACGGAGAGAGCGCTGCATGTTGGAAGTAGAAAATTATCTTAAAATCACAAATCGCCTTCACTCGTTTCGTATTCGTTCCCATGACGCAAGGCTCTCACGAATGCTTTACGTTTCACGGACGTAGTCTGTAAGTGGTTTGACATCTGGGGCGATGTTGTGTGTGAGTTTCCATGTGTTCTCCCGATAGCAGGGAGCGGTGGTGGAGCGGTTACCACGCTGCGCTACGAAACCGGCGACCCGCGTTCGATTCCCGCTCGCAACCAACATAAGTGACGATTATTATCTGAACCGGTCCTGGGCCTCGCCTAGGTCGACACAGCCTCAATTGAGTAGCTGGTGCGGTGTGTAAATATCGCCACTGGGGAGACAAAGGTGATCGGGCGTGGTGCTGGCCACCCACCCCCTCGTTGTACCGTTCCGGCCTTCGTAGGTGCTCGCTAACAGCACTTGCCCCAATAGCCCGTTAAGGCTACACGGGGGATCTTTGCCTTTGTCCTCCCGACGGAATAATTTGTCGGTACATTTTCTTTCTCTTCGGACCGTGACACCGGTACAAAACGCGGCCGGCCGGCAGCCGCCGTTGTCGCGCTTTTGAGAGGTGCTCGCTAACAACGCCTGCCCCAACACGCCGTGTAGGCCCTACACGGGAGATGTTTGTCCATGCTTTGTTTTTCTGTTCTGACCTTAGAAATGATCTACCATTTCATCCTGGAGCAGCAGAAGGCATCGCGGGTTCCGCTCTGCATCAACCCGCAGTCTGCGGCCTTCAAGAGCTTCGTCAGGTCTGACCACGACGCTCCCATGCCACGCCTCGGTGCGCGTGCAAATCGTTCTATTGTGTCGCCGTTTTCGAAAAAGGCGCTCTGTAAATATAAAATAAGAAAATTGGCATGTTTGGCCAATTCCTTTTCCTTGAGTATTTGCACGCGGTGTAGAAGCCGGTACTACCCGTTGAAAAACCGCGCCTCGGCATACGAGGAAACGACGCCCTCGAGGCTCTGCGCAAACGGGTTCGCGACCTCGCCGTCATCTCCCGGTCACCTCGCGGCCCAGTAGTTTTGGCTTTTGCCTGACAGACCCGTGTGGACCTTGCCGAGCCTCGCCTCCCAAAGCACCGGGCCAGCTCGCCGGCGCGCCCGTCGCCGTCGTCGCTCGCTGGCGTGGCCCTCACTGCTGCCCCCCCCCCCGCCTGCCCCTCTCCCCACCACCACTAACACCACCCCCTCCCACCTTGTGTTTAACCCTCACAGCTCCACGGTGGCACAACCATCGGAGATGCCTCCATCTCCACTCGTGTGGGAGTGAGCTGCGCCGGGGATGCCGACACCCAGTGGCATGGACGCGCCAACAAGGCAGACAAAGGCCGCAGAAGCCGGACTCGCTTCACCGACGATTTATTATCATTTTTATTATTTTAAATCGATTTTAACAGGAGAGAGAGAAAAAAAGTACACTTTGCACACAAGTAGAAATTGCAGCAGCTCCTAAACCCGCTACGTGCAGTGTAGTTTTAACACCTGTGAACACTGCTGTTAATTTCACAATCGTCTCGTTTAGTATTTGTCTTTGATATTTTTTGGCTTATTTCATTTGTGTTTAATGAAGAAACGAAGTCGGGCCACTGGTTTCCACAGCAGAAGCTGACTGTGGAGTTAAAGACTCGGTTTTTAACAGCGACGAATGTTTAAAGCTGCCATCCGTCACGGCCTGGCTGTGCCCACACGCCACGTCCTGCGTGAGCGCGAGAGGCCTTAGGGAGAGGAACAACCCCCCCCCCCCCCCCCACGTGAAACGAGACTCCCCCCACCACCACCCACCGCCCCCCCACGCGCCCGTGCGTCTGGAACACAAGCAGCAGCGGCAGCAACAACGCCGGCTTCAAATGCCGACCGTCGCAGCGTGACGAAGAAACTACGGAGTGTGTCCGCGGCGCCTCCAGCATCTCTTCACGGGGCGACGTTTCGCAGGATCGCGTTTCGCGGCCGCCGAGGTTCGGGGGATGCGCGAAGGGGGAAAGCAGGTTTACATTTTCCTGACAAGATTATAAGCGAGCTTGGTTTCACGGGCGATTTTTTTTGAACCCGGCAAAAGTCATCTCCGCGCTCGGATGTGCCAGGATGCCGGCAGGAGCCGCATCTTAGGGCTGTTTGCTGTGCGCTGTCTGTGACGGCACGAGAGAAGAGAGAGCGCCTGCCGTGTCGCCGAGGACTCCGCTGTAAAACGAGGCTGCCCTCTCCCCGGCGCGGTTCGTCCCGGCAGTACGGCACACATGTCAATTGTGCAGCGGCCACTGCGCCTTCGGAAAAGCCGGGGCGGAAGGCGGAACAAAAAAAGCGGGGTTGTGGCAGCGCAGACGATCACTTGAATTCCTCGTCACCACTTGCGACGATAGACGGGAGCCTCTTCATCACCGTCCCCCTCCATCCCTCATTCCCCCGTGCCACCATCCCCTCATTCCCCAGCCGGGCCACGGGAACACAAGAGTTCGTGTCGAGGCCTCCCTACGCCGCGCGCGAGCGTCCGCTGCTGGGATCTGCGGCGATCGGCGATGGAGGTGCCACATCGACCGCCCCTGCGTTGAACGTTTTGCAGCTTTCAAACCCCCAGCCGTCAATACGCTTCGGTCAACCTTTCAGCCAAAAACGTCGACCAAGGTGTAATTCCTCGTCAGTGTTTGTTTTTAACTTCCTAATTATTAAGTGTTATTTATTTCGGGTCTTTTTTTTTTTTGCTCATGCCATTTTTTTCCCTCACGACGCATATTTTTTATTCCGATAATGGCAACGTTACGGCCTAGCGTTAAAAGTAGGTCATGCTGCTCAGCAGAGATGGGAAGGAGGAAGGGGAGCAAAACCGTCGCATTTTGTGACAAACGGAGGAGATGGCCGGGGCTAGGAGCCGTGCATCAAGTTGACAAATGGTCACGCCAAGATTTGGCTTCAGGGAGTTGAAAGAGACTGCTCTTAACACTGATTCCAACGCCTCAAGCTTCTGCATCGCTAACTGTACATAGTTCGAGAGAAGTGAAGATGGTGGCACAGCGATGTAACTGGAGAGTTCCCTTTTTTATTGCTTTTTTCAAGTTGTACATCTTTGCTTTGGAGCTGCCTGCATTCAGCATTGACTGGACTGAACAATGAAGCGGAAATAAGTAGGTTTTTTTTTTCCCCTCCGCCCCCCCCACCCCCCCATAAATATTATCGTTATTATTCTATTTGCGAATCGAGGCAACGGGATCGCTTTCCCTCGGACTTGGGTTTTCTATGAAGGCCTTCCGCGATGGCTACCCGCCCACCCCGCACCGCTTCTTCCCGTCGGCCTCGGCCGGGCCCTTGGGACCAAACGAGCGACCTTGGTCACCGCTCCCGCAGCAGACGGGGGTTCCACGTGCCGGCGGCAGCGGCGGCGGCGGCGTTGTCTTCTATTGCGACGAACCGACGCCCGCGTCCGGAGCCACGCGCCGAGGTTGCTGCGGGAGCGGGCGGCAGGAGGAGGCTGCCGGGAAGGCCCCCCCCCCCCCCCCAATGGTTTCCTTCCCACGCCACCTTGCACCTCAGTGGCTCCCCAAAAAGGTCGTCGGGCCAGCGGCGTCTTTGTCCGACGAGCGAGGAGGGTAGCGGAGGCCCCGGCCCCCCTATTTCCAGCTGACCCAAAGCCCCGTGCTCTGATGGGTGGAGCGGTAGGGGGTGGGGGCTGGGTGTTGTGGGGGGCTCCAGCCATTGCGTGGTATCTGGCTACTGGGTTCTGCGCGGCGGGAGTGACGGGCGCACGTGTGCGTGGCGAGGCTCCGGTACGAGGCGCCCCGATGGAGCTGAATCCTGGTCGCGTGTGGTTGATTGCGGCCGCGCTTTGCTCGTCGATGTGAAAATGGGCAACTCGTTGCTTGGGGGCGGGGATGGCGGTGTGCTTGCATAGGAGGCGAAAGGTTTTAGGAGAACAAACCGCAAGGATCGGGGTGAATGGTGTCGGGTGGTGGTGGTGGTGGTCGTCGAGGGGGAGGAGGGAGGGTGTACAGTTTTTGGATTTGGAGTGGTTGAAGGTGTGTGGTGTGTGGTTGGGGTGGAGCTGAGGCGATCTCGCCTAAACCAGGAAAAGTCTGCGAAAGCATCACTTTTAATTTATCAATGCAATGTGAAGAGTTCAATTTTAGGGCAAGAAAAAAAACGTCATGGCGGGGGGGGGGGGCGGGGCGGGGGAGGGAGGTTGCCCTTTTTATAATTGCAAAAGCCGTCACAGATTTTAAGTTGCTTAACCTTCACAACGGCTCTGGTAGCCCGCGTCATTTGCTTGCGCAGATTTCTTCCAAGCGCTGACGGTGCACTGCCGCGTGGCGTCCCTGGTCCAGCGTCGTCTCGGAGGCTTTCGTTTCTTCACGCGCCCTCCACCAACACCCGCACCTTAAGACTACCGCGCCGACCAAAAAAAAAACACGAAAAAACTTTACCTGGCACCGACAGGTCCAGTACAAAACCTAATGTGCTACCTTTAATGTGTACAGCTCCGGTAGATTTTTTTGTGGGTTCACTGTAATATAGTCCGGTTTGTAATTTATGCTGATGTTTAAAAAAAAAATGTATATTTATGCATTGCTTTGGAAGACGGGAGGAGAGACCCTGACCGCCAGTCCCGTAGATTGAACTGGACCGGTGCACCGTCGGCGATACTCTTCCTGCCGGAGAGGGCCTTGACACGAGGCCTGACTGTTATTGACAAAACAAAACAACAGAAACTCCCCACAGTTTTAGGAACGCGGTCAAGAAAACGTTAGCAATGAAAAAAAAGTACACGCTCAAGAAAAACAAACAAAATAGACCGGGCTTCTGTAAACCAAGTATCCAGACCGTGTTTGTAGTTGTACTTCAAGTGGCGGCAAAAAACATGCAGTGGATTTTGTTTTATTCCTTTGGTACTGACTGGAAGAACAGAGGGCCGCTCTAAAAGGAATGTGTGCTGAATAATGTTGGGATTAGTAGTGGAGATTCGTACCTGGCACGGAGGTTTTGCTCGTACGTGTGTGCGTATGTGTGTGTGTGTAAGTGGTGGAAGGATGCCCTGGTTGTCTCCCCCTTCCCCTACCTTTGTAAGAAGGGGGGCCTCGCTGATTTGTTATAATTTGTTAAAATTATCCTGGCAAGGATTATTGAACGTCGCCTTAGCCAGGCACACGGAGGGAAGGCTTGCAGAGCCCCTATGTGGTTTTAGAATGTGGCGGTCCTGCACAGACGCCATTTCTCTGTTCGCCTGCTACAGCAGAGATATTGGGAATTTGAGAACGACCTAAATCTTTGTTTTATTGACCTGAATAAGACCTAAGCCAATGCTCGCTGGGTTATTCTCCGTTCTTTCTGGTTCCCTGATCTGCTCACAATCATTTACGGACCTGAATGATGGTGGGCAGGCCCGGTATTCACTTCAGGGTGCGACAGGGATGTCCTCTGGCTCCTACATTATTTAACATCTTTGACCACGTAGTTTAAACTTTCCATGGCTGCACGAGAGGAATTTCAATCCCCTACAGATACAATGGAAGACTGATCGATGCTCAGGTGCGCTCAAAGGATGGCTTCCTATTGGTCAACCATCTTACGTATTCTGATGGACTGTTTATTGCTTGCCACACTAAGGAGGAGTTTGAGAATCTACTGCTGAACCTGGAATATGCCACAACAAGGTTGGGCCTTACCGTTCAGAGTACCTGCCTGGGTAGTATATTTTGTCAGATACTCCGTTGTTGAGAAACAAGCAATTCTCATACCTGGACAGTGGGATTTTGATCAGTTCCAGTTTGGCAGTAGAGGTCTCACTCTGAATCAGTCGAGCAGCATTAACGTTTCATCAGTTGCATAACATGGCGTGGAAGCCGCCACCTGGCCTGTGGCTCTATACGAAGATTCGGGTCTTCTCAGCCACAGTTATGCCCTCGCTTCTCTAAACTTGCGAAACATGGACCCCTTTAAAGGAACATCTGCGTTCCATCCTGGGTTTTACCAGGCTCGATTGTGTGAGAAGCTCACATATTCTTGTCAGATCTGGGCACAGTCTCATCATTGAGCTACTCTGGCAGATGAGGCTCCATTGGCCGAGTCATGTAGCCCGCATGCCTAGCCACCACATGCCCAAGCAGCATCTGTTTGGCTGGATGGAGAGGGTTTAAACGGGTGTTGCACGGGTTAGAGAAGAGATGGCCATATGTGGTTCAGAAGGATGTGGAGCCGAGTTGACTTGCCCGATGACTGGTACCAGCAGTGCCAACATCGGGTTCTGTGAAAGAGACGCGTGAAGAAGCTCCTGGGAAGTTGGAGGCCGTCACCCACCAACAGGGGCGACCCTGGGTCTGTCCCGTGACCAGCCAGCGAACCTTCCGACACTTCGCGTGGCTTACAAAGTGTGCATAGCCTGGCACAAGTGCTGTGGTGACGCCACGGTCGCTTCGTGGTGAATGACAGCTGTTGTTATTAAGTGGTGGAAGGCAAATTGGAAAATGTCACTTGGGTGCAGTACACATGTATCACTCTTACCCGATGTCGTGAAACGGAAATGGTGTCTGCAGCGAATGCGATTTTAATTTATTATCCCAACTTGAGACAAATCCTGCAATGAGAACTATCACTGCCCATTCGTGCACGTGAACTCCAGGCAGAAGTCTTCTTAAAATGACACGTAGCAGTCCCGGGTTGGTTGGGCCCATTATATCGTGCGCGTAGACATGCGGTATGTGTGTGTGTGCCACTGCACTGCTAGAGGTGTCTAACTGCTGTGATTATTGTGGAGATGGAGAGACGTCTGCAGCGTAACGTTTCAAGGTCACAAATTTCCACTTGCGTCCTGAAACGTGTCCATCCCACATTAAAGCTCGAGAGAGAGAGAGACCAACCCCAACAACACCGATATAACCTGTAAGTTTTACAACAACAAACACATACCTCGGGTGGCAGTAATAACAACAACAAACATGTGTACCTGCAACCAAGTGCCTTCACCCGCTCAACGCGTTTGTGAGCGCGGTGGGTTTTTTCCTTCTTCCCCACCACCGCGTATCAATGATTAGGAGCACCGCCGTCATCGCGATCATGCTCCGGGGCAGGGAAGGGGTGGGATCCTCTGCCAGTTCTTCCATGGGTCTCAGAGGATTCTAGCGGACGGGGGTGAAGGAGGAGGGGGGGTGGGTAAGATCAGCAGCGGCAGCTTTGTGCTTCAGCTTTCCCAAGTTGGGCCACGTGATGACATTAAACCGAGATTCATCTCCCGTTTTAGCAGGGCCGTTTAAGAAATCCACAGTCGCGCTGACTTTATTTGTGGGTTTTTGTTACATTTAGGGGCCATCCATTTAGTACGTACGAATGGAGGGAGGAGGGGGTTGACCCAAACGCGTATGCTTTCGTATGGGAGGGGGGGGTCTGCTGACAATGTACCCATATGAAACGGGGGGGGGGGGGTGAAGCCTCTATAATAATTTGTCTACATTGGCCTTCAAATGCGCCACAGTTCAGTTTCTTCAGCTGTCAGACTGCCGGAAGAGGTAGGCCTGTGGGAGAGGTGTCACTCGTGTGCCACCGTGCCCCTGACTGCAGCTATCACGCAGCTCAGCAAAATAAGTGGCCAAGGTACGCAAGTTCATTCTTTAATGCAGGCGGCGGTGGACTATCTGTTTGCTTCAACACGTTAATATTATTAATCCTTGATCGTTTCTGCGTGAATTAAATATCGGCCGTTCTATAGGATTCGGGGGGGGGGGGGTCAGGCGCACGTACGCAGGTGGGGGGGCGGGGTGTTAAAAGTCCGCGTGCGTACAGGGAGGGGTCAAGTTTTGACAGATGGTTACGTACCTACTAAATGGATGGCCCCTTAAACAAAAACATACATATGAAGTGGGTAGACTAAAAAGTAGCCCCCCTTTATATATATTTTTTTAAACAATCGCTTGATCACCTGCATATTTTTTGTGTTACCAGTGCCACCGTGCTCTTGAGAACTTGAAAGTGTGTGTGTTTTCCGGTTGTTTTTGTTTTGTTCTGTGTATTCTAAGCAAGTTGGTGCTTTTTTGCGCGGATCTCCTACACACTGCTGTTCGTGTGAACTGAGCGGGGCCCTCCCTCCGTGTGTGATACGTATCGAGTCGAGATTCTCTCCCGTTAGGGGCCATCCATTGAGTACGTACGCATGGAGGGGGGAGTTAACCCAAATGTGTACGCTTGCGTATGGGGGGGGGGGGTCTACTGGCAATGTACGCTAGGAAACGGGGGGGGAGGTGGGTGTGAAGCCTCGATAATAATTTGTCTACATTGGCCTTCAAATTAGTTCGCCCGGCGGTGGCCTAGCTGTTTGCTATAGGATTCGGGGGGGGGGGGGGGGGGGGGGGGGGGGGTCAAGCGTACGTACGCAGGTGGGGATGTAAAAAGTACGCGTGCGTACAGAGAAGGGGGGTCAAGTTTTGACAGATTTTCTGCGTACGTACTAAATGGATAGCCCCTTAAGCAACATCTTCTCAGGCGGGCAGCCTCTATGTGCATTGTGGTGGCAAGAAAGTCCCTGCACATCACCCCCCCCACACACATCAGATATAATCGTAATCTCTAATAATAATAATGATAGCTTGTAACACGTGGGGAGTGTAGGGACGCCCCACCTACCCTGCACATAGACACAGCCTACAGTTAATATCGTTATTGTATAGATTCCCAATGATTTCTCGCTTTATTTCCCATCACCACCCGCCTAGACTTTGCCCATCACAATTGTTTGTGGGTTTTGTTGTTGTTGTTCATTAGTTAGACGTAGGTCGTGAGGATGTCTTTCTGCTTGCTTCGTCGGTGTTGGCCCGAGCGTGCACGTGACGGAGAATTGTTTCGAAGGGTGTGGGCGGGGCCTAGTGTGGGGCGGAGCCTAGTGAGGGTGGGGCGGAGCTTTGCGCGGCGTGGTCGGGCGGAGCCTGGTGCGGGGTGGGCAGGGGCTAGTTTGGGGTGGACGTGGTTTAGCGCGGGGTGGGCGGGGCCTGGTGCGGGGGTGGGCGGGGCCTGGTGCGGGGTGGGCGGGATCTTGTGCGGGGTGGGCGGGATCTTGTTCATGCCCCCCCCCCTTACCTGAATCGGCCCAGCAAGAGCAACATGGCAAGGATTTGCGATACTTTACTTGAAAGTTGACCATTTTATTTATTCATTCATAATTATTACTACTATTATTATCCTGTTTTGTTTAAACATTTGTTTGTTTGGGAGCTTAAGCAATAAGGACACAAAACAAATCAATGTTCACCGGGTGGGTGGGTGGTATGTAAACAATTGTTTATTCTTACGGGTTTTATTTCATTTTCTGGTGGGCCACAGTGTCGAGGGAGGGCAGGCTTAGCGCCCTCTCCTGCCGCCTTTGGGCGCCTCCTTTCGCTAGGCGACGGCGAGGACCTTCAGGGCTGCCCGCAATTATCCACCCATCGTCCTCATCACCCTCGTCCTCCTCCTGTACCTTCCCAGGCATCAATCGCTGGCGACGTCGTTATGCGCGGTGCGTCTCGCTCTTGCCCATCCCTTGTCGCCAGCCCATCACTTGCGAGGCGCCACGGGTCTCGTGGGCACTGAAGGCGACAGT